GTAAGGAACCAGAAGAAACCCAGTGCTTGTAAGCGGGACGTTTCGCGAACCCACAACAGACTGTACCCGCCATTTTCATGGCGTCATGCAATTGCAACCAATGCTCATCTATACTTTTCGGTGGAATGGTAGCTAGCCTAGAAGCTAGCTCGGTTCGGTACTTACTAGCAACAGAAGTTGCAGCCAGCTTGCTAACATCAATCCTTTGGTGGCGGTCACTTCGTTGTCCACTGAAAAGTAAGGTAAGATTGGCGCAGACCAGAGCATGATCAGATTCCAGATAGGTACTCCAAAAGGAGCGGCAGTCTTGTACACAACCGCGCCAGCGGTAGCTGATCGCGATGTGATCAATCTGAGTCCAGGCTTGAGATGCAGAAGGGGGACGCCAGGTGGCACATCGGCGATGACTGTGCCGAAAGTTAGTGCTAGCCAGAAACAGGTCGTGGTCTGTGCATAGCTGCAGTAGACGTTCCCCGTTATCTGTCCTGCGACGAACAAGTCTCCATCGGCCACCTAAACGACTCTCTTCTGTGCCTAGACGCCCGACCTGAGCATTCAAGTCTCCGGCTAGTACTACAATATATGTCGAACGCACTTTCTGGAGAACAGATAACTGGTGGTTAAACTAATGCTTGATCGCATCCGGGCTGCAATCCGTCGGAGCATGGGCGGATATGACCAAAAGATATCACTTCCCATACAGATTTCTTCGCACTTTGATGGAACTTTCTGATCTAACAGCACACAACTGACTGTTAGTGGGGATCCAATCGATTAGTGCTGCCTCAGCTCTTGCGCTTAGTGCGACACCAACGCCAGCAAGACCAGACGAAGATGCCACAGGGTCCCCGGATAAACGCACATAAAACAAGCTTTTTGAAGTGACAGATGGAGAGCAAACTTTTAGTACTTCAACAGAGTCTTGAATACGGGTCTCGGATAGACAACACACATCAATATTAAGACTTTCCAAAGACATAGCCAGCCCTATCTGTTGTCCGACCTGCATAAGTGTGCGAATGTTGAAGGCAGCCAGTTTGAATGGTGCACGTGGTTTCAGAAAAACTGCTTCAGTACTCATATTCGGTAGTAACATACAATTTTCAACCAGGCAGTGACTCGAGAACGTTTAGATAAAGATGAATTTTCACCATAGGCGAGCTGCTGTCTGAGTCGAAACGGATACAAAAAGTAGAAATAGGAGATAGTGAATAAATGACGTAGTAAATAATAATAATAATACCAGTCATTTCAATGTTAGTCGGAGAGAAACGAATATTTTCTATAAGCAGATAGTTCATCATAGTTTTAGTGTGTGGGCTGAGATACTGCCCGGGTGCCCAGACCGAAGCAGGTGGTTTTCTTAGGGGGCCACACCCCGAGCCTTCGACCTAAAGGTCTGACCCACAAGGCAGTGGAGCATCGTGAGGAGATTCAGTCCCATGGAAGCCGGTGACCAAAAGTTGGTTCATACGCCATTTGTTCTCGCAGGATACTGGAGCCCATGTGCACCATTGAATTGGGATCCGGTTAAAGCGCCGGACGTTCGCTTTTCGTCCTCTCATTTTCGTAAACAACACCCCCGCCACGAGAAGGCAGTGAGTAGGACTTCCCTGGCAGAGGCTGTATACGCGTGGCCGTGTGAGAGTATTTCGAGAGGGAGGGCGAACCCTCCCCGCTCTCGGCCATACCAGGGCATTTTGGGGCCACTACAGGACTTAGACATCGTATCCCCGTACAAATCGTACATACCGTTAATGATACATGGTAGTGGAAAATCCAACTGTGTTAGTTATAACGCATTTAACAAGTAGAAAGCTGATGTTTTGAAATAATAACATAAAAGATTTTGTGAGCTGAAATCGAATTCATACTTTATTTTAAAACCCACAGGACTAGTTCGAGCAATAATATTCAGAACCACAAAAACATATTATTCTACGAATTCTCAACGGAATACCATATCATGTTAAGTGATAACCAAATATAATATGAAATATTTCTGAACTCGAAAATACATAATATAATTAATAATCTTTGGTTTTTCACTTAATTGGAAATTATGGGAAAACTTATATTAACGTACTGAGTTTTATACTTATGTGGTTATTCTTATTGCACTGTTAAATTCTACTTTGTGCATTATTCCATTTCCAACATAAATAAGATTTACTATGGTAATAATTTCTCTGATGCTGTCCAAATAAGCATGTAAGGTACTCGAAGGAACCTCATGGACCCAGGATTCTTCGAAAAAAAGAAATAGAAAATCATAATGAATCTTACCCAATGTTATGCACCCATCAATAATAACAACGACGAAGATCAGTTCTATGAGAGGTTGCAATCAATCATAGCGATGTGCTCAGGAAAGGAACTGACTATCCTGATGAGAGACTTAGACGATAAAGTTGGAATGGACAACACTAGGTATGAAGATATCATGGGACGTTATGGACTGGGAGAAAGGAACGAGAACGGTGACAAATTCGTAAATTTAGGTGCATTCGGCAAAATGGTTATAGGCGGCAAAGTATTACCCCACGAACGCATACACAAAGCTATATGGGTATCACCGAATCGCGTCACGGAGAACCAGACAGATTATATTTGCATCACTAAAAAGCTCAGGAGGACAATGAAAGATTTGAGAACCAGGAGAGGAGCTGATATAGCTTCGGATCATCACGTGGTTGTAGCCAAGATTAAACTTAAGCTGAAGATGCATTGGACAGCATACATACAGCCTTCCTTCAAGATACTGAAAACTAGACAAATTCAAGATAGCTCTCCGCAACAGGTTCCAAGCCTTACAGGATCTAGTGAAAGAAGAAACTGCAATGCAGGACAACTGGAAAGGGATCAAATAAACAGTAATGTTGACAGGTCAGAAAGGGCTGGGTTGCAAGAAGCATCATCATATGGAATGGATCTCTATAGAAACACTGGACAAGATTCAAGAAAGGACGAAATAGAAGACAGCAATTAACAACAACCAAACAAGAACAGAGAAAGTAAAAGCACAAACTGAATACACAGAAGCAAACAAGCAAATGAAGAAGAGCACTAGAGCCGACAAGCAAAAATACGTGGGAGAGTTAGCAACAACAGTGAAAAAATCTGTAAAAGAAGGAAATATAGAACAACTATATGACACAAAGAAGATATTGGTAGGGAAATGTAGTAAACCAGAGGGATCGGTCAAGGACAAAAAAATGAAGGCCAATCACTGAGACTTAAGAACAGGTGAGTAAAAAACATTGAGGAATTCTTGAGTAGACCAGCTCTATTGAATCCACAGGACATCGAAGCAGCACATACAGACCCTCCTATGGATGTCACTCTACCAACGATCGAGAATATCAGGATGGTCATCAAACAAATCAAGAGTGGGAAAGCAGCAGGACTTGACAACGTGCCAGCTGAAGCCCTGGAGTCGGACATAGAAGTATTTATTTATTTGAACACATGAATGTTGGTACAAAAGAGCAGACACAGAAACAACCGCAAACATGCACCACATTTTATTCAGGAAGATTTAGGATAGAAAGAGGTACTGACAGATTAGAAAGAAGAATAGCTCATCAAGATACCAACGACAGGAGATTCGAGCAAGTGTGAGAACTACAGAAGCGTCACACTACTACAGATATCAGGAAAAGTTTCCAACAAGGTGTTGCTGTACAAGATGAGATCAACAGACCAGATTCCGAACGGATAGGTTGCGCACAGACCAAATATCGATGCTACAGATCATCGTTGAACAAACAATTGAATGGAACTTGTCACTATACAGCAACTTCCTTGATTATGAGGCGTTCGACAGTGTGGATAGCACTTTATATAACCTTCATCGACACTATGGTGTACTTGAGAAAATCGTCGACATCACCCAGAATTCATACGACGGATAACACCGCAAAGTGGTGCATGGACGAAAGCTGTCAGGTGAATTCCAAGTGAGTACCGGAGTCAGACAAGGTTGCTTACTCTGGCTCTTTCTCTTTCTTTTGGTGATTGACTGGATTATGAAGACCTCTACATCTGGTGGGAATCACGGAATATGATGGACAGCTCGAATGCAATCAGACAAATCGGACTTCGCAGATAACCTAACTCATCTATTCGACACACACCAACAAATGCAGGTGAAGATAGCCAGTGTAGCAATAGTCTCTGCATCAGTAGACCTCAACATACACAAAGGAAAAAGCAAGATTCCCAAATACAACCCAGAGATCACTAAATCAATCACACTTGATTGAGAAGCCCTGGTAGAGGTGGAAACTTCCACGTACCTGGACAGCATAATCGATTAACAAGGAGGATCCGATGCAGACGTGAAGTTAAGGATTGGCAAAAGAAGGACAGAATTCTTACAGTTGAAGAATATATAGAACTCAAAACAACTGTCAACCAGTATCAATATCAGAATCTCCAATATGAATATCAAGATACTTCTACTGTACAGAGCTGAAACTTGGAGAACTACCACAACCATCATCAAAAATGTACAAGTATTCATAAATAGATGTCTACGCAAAATACTCAATGTTCATCGACCGGATACTATCAGCAACACCCTACTATGGGAGAAAACAAAGCAGCTCCCATATAAACAGGAAGTCAGGAAAAGACGTTGGAAGTGGATAGGACATACAGTATGGAAATGATTAAAATGCATCACAAGGAAAGCTCTAACGTGGAATCCTGAAGGAAAAAGGGGAAGACCAAGGAATACAGTGCGTCGAGAATTGGGAGCAGACATAAGGATTGATAGCAACTGGAAAGGACTGCCCAGGACAGAGTCCCATGGAGAATGCTTGCGGGCGGCTTATGCCGCTCCACGAGTAGTAACAGGCGTAAGTAATGTCAATAATTTGAACCATACATCAATAGTTCTTAGTAGCTGAAACAAGTGCCTTGATTGAGATAAGCGAGAACGTAAGGGCGCGAATTAATTACACTGACCAAAGTACCAATTAGTGATAAAGAAAAGATAGTACTGAAATATCTCGGGTGTTTCAAAGAAGTAATAACATCAAGTTTTTAAAGATATTGAATCAGGATGCAAGCAGTACTAGATATAGGATATAACAAACAGCTATCGCATTAAATGTTATATGAATCAATATATGTAATTTAGAAGAAAAAGAAAATGACCTATCATTAAAATTAAATTTCGCTGATTTATGATCAAATGGAAAACAGATTTATAATCAGAACCCTAACAATTAAGTGGTTTACAAGACAACAATATATTTTGATAATAAAGGGATCGCTTACAAAAAAAACAATCGACAGACAAAATACAAAGTATAATATAATTTAATAAATTTTATACAGGCCATACACGATGAAAACAACTATATTAATGATAATGCTTACATTTAGTTTGGTATAGATGTAGCCAATGCAAAAAACAACAAAATATTCGAACAAACAAAAATTGTGTTTATTTTATCCATAAGTGGGTGCGACTTTTACTTATAGAAAATTTAACTATTTTTTTAGTACAATTCTTTCAGTTTACTTTTAATAAATAAAAAAACGAACAGTGATAGAATTATCCAAGAAAATAACACAAAATAAAGTTTAAACTGAAATGAAAATAAAGAAAGCAAGGAAATATAGAGATTGTAATTTTAATCGAAATGGAACAAAATACTGAAACATTGTTACACAGGTCTATTTGTTTGAAATAATAATAATAATAATAATAATAATAATAATAATAATAATAATAATGACTGATCGACATTTGATATACGATAAACAATCACTTCACTGAGAATACAAAGACAAAATCATAGTTGTTTTAACAAATTAAAAAAAACATACAAAAACAAGATATCAACAACGATATAATAATCAAGATAATAATAATAATTTGGAAATGTGAAAATAAAAAATAAATTTATCAGAAATTAATGATTGATACATATTAACAAAATGATTGTATTTTAAATATAATTAGTTATTTCAAGAAATGCAATTCAATTAATAATTAAGTTTTTCTTTTAATTATTTACAAATGAGTGAATATACACAGTTTTTGTATGGCATGACAGATGGATAGATTGCATTGAATAATTTAAACAAATGAAAATAAATACACTTGAGATAAATTAAACAATAACCTATTTAACAAGTCAATAAAGTAAGAAATGAAATGAATGCAAAAAGAAAAAGACACTATAACAGAATATAGTTACAATAAGCTTCGTGTGAATACTAAGATTACAATTATGTACATAACAGTTAGACATATATATATATATATGAGGAAAAATTGTAAACAACTTAAGCGGAGGTTGATAAACGATTAGACAGAACTGGATAATGACGAATAAGTGTGATAAAGATTTGTTAAAGGTCAAGTGTTATTATTTAAGTTATTATTCAATGAAGTTTTGTAATGTGGATATTGTATTGTTATTTAGTGATTCCGTAATGGTTTTATTAAAATTTAAATATTCCTTTATACAATTAATGCTCTCATAGTCGATTTTATCACTATTACTATTATTCATTTGAGAAGCATCGGAGGCATTAAATATAGAAAGATGAGATTCTTTTGAAACTTGTGTATTCACCAACTCCGATGAGTGCGAATCCGGAACTTCAACTTTCTACACATAAGAATAGAGAGAGAAAAAATCACATGTTTATCTATGCATCAAATCGTAATTAGAATGAAAAGTATTATGAAGTGATAAGTTTAACCACAAGAGGGTGTTTACGAAATTGAGAGGTCGAAATGCAAATGTCCGGAGCATTAACCAGGTTGGTGGATATGGAGATGGAGGGTCCACCTAAGGGAGTTGGAAAACCCTGATTCCAAACCAATGGTGTATATGGGCTCCAGAGTCCTGGGAGAACAAATGGTGTATGAACATACTGTTTGTCACTGGCTACCATTACAATGCATCTCCTAACTTTGCTCCACTGCCCTGTGGATTAGATCTCTAGATCAAATGCTCGGGGTGTGGCCAACTAATAAAACTACCCGTTTCGGTATGGGCGCCCGGGTAGCATTTCAGCCGTCACACAAATCGAATGACGAAGTGAGGCGCTTCCTTGCATCAATGTTTATGTGCTTAAATAAATAAATATAATAAATAAGTCTAACTAGTACATTCTATTAATATATTTACCTAGTGCCTAGTTTTATAATTGAAAAAGACAAGCGGATTTAAGTATGAAAATTATGTTTTGTTACTTTATAAGTGGTATTTAATCTTTCTGTTGAAGCATACACAGATTGAGAAATTGAACAGAATATTTCTTTCATCCACATTCTATTATTACAAAAGGAAACAGTGAGGTAAACTAGTCCTAATATCGGATTAGAAATTGTAACTAACGGTGTATAAGAATTCAGCTCTACATACATATAAGTGCGGAAAGAATTGAGTTGGACTTTTCTGGTCAACGTTTTTTTAGTAAGGTTCTTTTCAACATTTTAGTGAGTTGGATTTAATCACTTCGGATTTATAAAGAGAATACAAAAGAGAACTCGAGTTTTTTCGAAATGCGAAACAAACAAATCATTCAGAAATACATCAAATATTTATATAACAGACATGTACTACTAAAACACATGATGAAAAGAAGTATCTTGAATTAATGATGAATTACTATAAAAACTTCTGTTAATACTCTCCAACATATTTTTGAAAGAAACGTATGAAGTTGCAGTAACTGGAGATAAAGGTGCCTTGAACACAACCTCTAGTAGGTGAGCATGATGATAACTATTTTGATACTGTGGTTGAACATGGCTATCATGACTACTCGATTAGGGTACGGTAACCAAGAAAACAGAATTCTTGAAGTCACACGTAATATTAAGCAAGTCGGTTAAATATCATTAAAACCAAAAAAAACGGAAGATTTAAAGTTCAAGAGAAAAATCTTATTGTCACAGAGTGACGGCAAGAAAAGTATTTTCTACAAACGACCAGTCTATTCAGTGATTTTGCCTTTCTAATGACAGTAGGAAGGGTCAGTGAGAGTCACACTACACGATCTTTTTATCCCTGTGATAAGAATTGAAAAGTACGGACCTAAGAGAACAATAAATGTTCAGAAAAAGATTGTGTGCAGTTGATTTCGAAAAGTTATTTCTATGGCTCTGATGTTATCTTTTCAGGTTAAAAAAACGTTCAATCAGTAATCCAGTATCCCTTGCAGGTCCCACAAGAAGAAATGTTCTAACACAATATGAGCAACTGAAAATTATCAATCTTCCACACATCTCTAAAATTGACCGACTTCGTCCTGTTTCTAATAAAAATCATTAATTTATGAATATTTACGCACTAATACAATATTTATCAAAATACAAATTCAATCTTCTGATTATAATTAACTTTATTTATTTATTTGAACACATAGATATTAGTACAAGGAGGCAACAAACACATATGCGCTACACAAATCTCATTTGATTTGTGTGAGGGCTGTGATACTGTCCGGGTGCCCAGACCGAAGCAGAGGTGTAAAGAGGAAACAACTTTAAAACTCCATGGTAAATTAAAAGATTTCAAACAAATAACTTAACGAGAAATTACAACGAAATACTACAGATAATGAAAGAAATACATATTACAGATATCAACAATTACACAGAAAATGTTCAGATTTTCAAAAATTAATTTGAACCTACTGTTGTCGTCTCACATATCGATTGTTCATTAACATCATTATTACTATCATCAAGATTGTTTTGATCTTTATCACAACTAACTGCCAATGATAGTTGTTCAGATAATTTCCCTTGATCTGTGGCTTTTGAATTAGAATACGACAGAGGAAAATCTTGATTAGGCACAGAATCCATATCGTAAACGGTTGTAGACAGTTGGGAGTCAGCGGAAATATGATTTTGATCCAAATGAACAACAGTAACAGGAATATTTAAATCGATCACTTCAACATCATTTGACAAGTAATCTGTGTAGAGCAATAGATAAAATAAATCGCATTGTCGAATGATTCGTAGAATTTTACGATATGAAGAGTAATTATTATGAACCACTATTGTGAAAGTAGCCTATGAAAAACTGTCAACACTAACACAACCTAGTATTAAGGGTATGGATAACGAGACTAAGGATTTAGTGACTCATAATTATTGAGATTAAGAAGAGAATTAGTGAGGACAATTACTCCATAATTACAATGAGACATTAAAACATAAGACTTTGCACTGCATTAATATACATTTTATTTTTCAGACTAGAATATGTAGAGAGAGATATACGAAGAAAAATGGATACTGTTAAAAACGTCAAACGTGGCCGAAAATAGGTAAAATCTTTGGTTAAGTCAAATGACTGATTAAGAAAAGTACTGTTTATCAAAGAAGTTCTGTCTGTTATCGATTGCTTGCCAAACACAACCACTGAAGGGATGGATGGGGCATAGCATATTATTAATTGATAGATCAGTAAGAAGTTAAGAAGTTAGTAAAACTGAAATGCCAAGTTTGAGGGACTTGAGTAATCAAGTACAAAGAGGAATAAAAGTAGAAATACGCTTGAAGAGTTTAGTTATTAAAAAAATATCCGCTTCTTACGTCCGTTACAATTACCGTCTCTTATATTATTGAGTGGTGATGGTAATACGGAAATATTGCATCCTTTAAATAAATACTACTCTTTAGCTCTCTCGTTGAATATTTGAGGGAAAAGTTGTGGGATAATTTACTTTAAAAATTCTTCTATTCCTCGTAAACTTTGAACTTCCCACCCCTACTTTTCACTGGTTTAATTTTTGGTAACTTAAACTTTTAGTACGTCAAGCTACTTTTTCTCTCTCAAGATAATCTGCTAAGTATTCATAGGTGTTAAATTCATTGAAATGATTACAATTTCTAATTACGGATAACTGGCGTTCCTCTAATACGAAGAAAAGCTAATGCGAACTCGATAGTACAGCCACTGACATACGTGATGCTTCACAAATTACCCCCAAACAAGCGAGACAAGAGTTCACAGAAAGCTTAATATTCCAGAAGACAAAACTAAGCTATAACAACACATTTTGAAAAAAAACAATAAGAAAACGGAGGCAAAATATCCGCGCTGCACATTTCGAACAGTTTGGTCATGTATATTTGTCAAACCATTTTATATAAAAACTAAAAAAGGTCGATTAAATAAAAGTTCAGATAAACTGTAAATAAAGGAGAGAAAAAAGTTAATATCGAATAATGAGAAATTATCACATCACCTTTGGCCCTAAAATGACTTAAAGATTATCAGGCTAGGTTCAAGGTTGTGTCCGTAAACATAAAGATGATTTGAATTCGAGAAAAGTTAGTTTCTCTAAACCTAAGAATTAGGCCTTGACAACGCCTATAAAGTGCTTTAAAAGCTATTTTGATGACCTTTATTAATTTTCGTATAAAATCCCTTAACAAATACATGTGTGACCAGACTGTTCGAAATGTATGGTGCGAATACACCACTTTTCAGAACAACTCCGTCTTCTCATCCTATCAAAATATAGGAAAGAAACTGAGTACTTAGCAACAAAATGTAACCTTGGGACACAGTAAAATCGGCATACTAAGAGGCAGAAAACAGAAAAGGTCGTGTAGAAATATGAATTACTAAATATATTGTTGCGGTTATCATTAGTGGATAGGAAAGAACATTTTCTCGAAACAGTATGAGATATCTTGAGATGTTTCGTTTCTTTATTTTCAACATCAAATATCTGGGATCTATCCGAGAATGATGTAAGCTTACATCTTATCTTACCATATCAGAAAAATAACTTCAATTATGCTTTTAACCCGTATTTCGTTTCAATCATTTATCAGGACTTTAAAAATATCACAAACTATTTTATGATAGAAAACTTTTGAGTAAGAAAAAAGTATAAAAAGTGGACTTGAAATAAATTTATAAAATTGTTTAAAGTAAACAAAAGAGGGCTTTGATATAACTGAATATGTATGGACAAATACTAACAAATCTCAGTGTTGTTTATTCCTTTACATATGAGCAAGAATTTTTAATTGTAATGAAGAGTTTAAATATTTAAGGCTAACCACATTATTAACAGGTGGATGAGCTTTCATCCAGTAAGTTACTCAATCCATAGCTTTCCCAGTTATTTTCCAATACTTTGGATGATTTCCTTTAGTCTTCAGTTACTAACAGCAGATGATAAACGTTAACCTGAAAATTGAAAAATCATTTCACACAACAGTTGTCAGTGGATGACGTCATTTCGCTGAACTTTGACACTGACGCCATTTAAAGCTAACCGTTATCACTGTGCCTTAACGAGATGTAGTGTTTCAGTAAATTTCTTGCATAAAATTCAATACATATATAAATATAAGTATAGGTGTAGTGAACGAGAACAGCAGTTGGTACAATCAAATCTATTTGAAAACAAATTACAGAATCTCATAGTAAAATCTGAGAACCATACGGTACAAACTTGATTTGCAAAATATCAATCAACTGTCTCATACTTCATTGTTTCTTCATTTTCACACTGACCAATCACTTTCTTCGTTCTCTTTTCTTCGGTATTCTTAACCTTCTGCCACCAGACATTTCACTTTCGATTGATGATGCATACTACTTATATCTGTCGACATCAGTAGCACACACCACATAGTTACGAAAAAAGGGACAAATATCCTATATAAAGCAGATTGTAATGAAACTTTACTGATCAAACCGAGATTGTATCCTCTAAAAGATTGATAATAAATGTCACTAGCTAAAACATTTAAAACAAACAAATCTACAAAAACGGCAACAGATATCATCAACAGGTTAAGCTAAACATTCAGGTAAATACAACGAAAAAATATGGTGAAAACACGTGATTATATTAGATGTGTCAAAAGTCTATATGTTGTTAAAATTATCGAAGATGAAAAATATTTTGGAAGTGTTGACGTTTACTAATTTTAAAGTTTCCAATAAGACTAAATAAAGATACACATACATAATACGTATTGAAAATGACTTACCTGAAACTGGTTGACAGCTTGTTGATATACCATCATAATGTGAAGAGAAGTATACAGTTCCCTCACTACTTTTACTGGTACTGTTATTATTCACAATATAAGCACATGAAGTTATATCGTTTGCTAGCAATGCAGAATCAATATCAGTCCCGGGAAAATTCTGGGATATTGAAGAATTCATTTGAATATGATCATTGTTTTTATTCTCATTTCTGTTATCATTAGATGAACAAATTTCATCTGTTGTATATTCGTAATTGGATTCACAATTAGCAGGCATGATACTATGATTAAAATTTATTTCATTGGAATTATTATTTGTTTGAGTTAGCTCAACTGGTGTACCTGTCATATAATATAATATACCATCGGAACTCATAACAGGATATAGTTGAATAAAAGAATACGGTGTTAAAGATTCATGACTAAATGACAAGTCACAATTTGTAGTTATAGTTTTAGTTGTATGTAGCTGATTGTCTGAACAACAAGAAACTGGATTTTCTATTGATGAATTAACTACAACATTAGATATTAGGGAATTAGTAGATACTAGACTAGAATTCTGTGCATCAGACGACCATGGAACAGGGTAGACTTGAACACCGGGAATAGAAGAATCATTTGGTAACTATTGATTCCAAAAAAAGAAACTTTATTAAATTAGAAAATCTTAATGGAGAACTATATATATATATATATATATATATATATATATATATATATATATATATATATATAATTTATTAGAAAAAGTCAGTACTGGTAATGATTTGAAAAGCTGTTATAATATTTTTACTAGTGACAGTGAGTGACGTCGGTTTGTACTGTACGAGAAGCATCAATTCCTCCAAGATTGTAGATATCCCTTATTGATGAATGCTAACTTCTAGACACGGATCACTATCAACTGCTCCAACAACTTAAAATCAACGAAAATTAATGAGCTTGTAAGAGAAACACAATTCAGCATGGCAGTCAGTACAAAAGAGTATTAGTATTGTTATGATGAACTGTGTTAGAGATCTGACACTGGTACACAATATGCTACGCGCTAACTTGACCTACTACTTGAGCTAGAAGACAGGAGTGGAAGAGAAAGTCTATTGGGCTACTGAACAATAGGCATAAATAGTCATATATATGTATATTTCTACTCCTTTGAAAATGAAATCGTTTCTTAGTTAATGATATGCATTTATCCCTTAGGTTATTCTTGGTTGTCATCAAGTGACCCTCTAGTCTGACTACTTTTGATTGGCTTACCGCATCAAGTATGTAATATCATTAACAGTAATAATATACAGGTCAGTTTTTCATCGGAGAAAACACGTAATATAATAGTAATGGTGCTGTTTTCTATACCACAATAAAACGAAACGCCTGCCCAGTGCTTCCAGGTTTTTTATGGTGGTCTAGCTTCAATTGACTCATAATCTCAACCATTGAAATTACTATAATATCCACAAAAACCCTTCTGATATGAATTAACATATGCTCACTAGTGAGTGGCTTCAAGAGATATTTCCTGGAGTTCTAATGAGAAGCAGTGACCAGTGGAATTCAACCAGGTCTGTTGTGAGATAGTAACTCACAGAAGACAATGGTGGATATGTTGCTCAATTTCGTGGATTGGTTGAAGTTAGACAATACCGTAGGTTGCCAGCCGGCTCAGTAGTCTAGTGTATTAAGCGCTCGAATGCAAGAGTGATAGGTTCCGAGTTCGAATCTCGCGAGGCGGGATAGTGGAAGCGCACTGCTGAGAAGTCCCACAATAGGACGAAACGGCCGTCCAGTACTTACAGGTTTTCCATGGTGGTCTAGTTTTAATTGACTCATGATCTCAACCATTGATAACACATATAAATCCAAGAATTGCATGCTATCAAATAAGGGATTATTAAGAACAGATTTAACGCATCAATGGAGGTAAATTGTTAACATCAATTTTTAGAATCATCACAAGTAACATACTATGGTTGTCATACAGTGAACTCTATGGATTAAAAGGAGATAAGAAAACTCTATGCAAACACCAAATGCAGGTGCCTCGATAAGATGAAGTGTAATTTGATCTGATAAAACAAAACACAACAAATAGTTAAAATGATTGCATTTGTAATTTGCTACTTACATTTTGTGACGTATCACTACTGTTACATGTACTGAAAGAAATCTGGGAGGCGTAAGCTGCTGCAACAGTGAGTAAATGCGGTGGTTTATTCACTGTATCACTTGTGTTGACCATAGAATCATAAATTACATGATTATCGATATTCATACCATTATTTTGGTTATCAGGATTATTATTTGCAGAGTGAAGAACAATGTTGGCTGAATTTGGATGAATATGCAGATTCCCGTTCGACGTATAATTTGATGAATATTTGTATAGTCCAATAGAAGAATTATTACCAACATCATTCTTATTGACTTTTCTTGCCAATGAATTTTGTTCAGATGAGAATAAACTGTTGGTCTGACGACGAGCATTTCGACGTTTTGGTTTTAGATCCAGCAATGAAAACTGCATAGATGATTGCTTATTACACGGTTTAGGCTATATTTCCGTTCAATTTTTTGGAAAAAGCAAAAAGTAGTATTAAATACAAGGTACGATAAACAGTTAAACATTCTTCTAGTGAATATTGAAAATTGAATAGGGTTAGGCTGATAACTTCACAACATTGTAAGCAGTTTCAATCCAATTTGTAATGGTTTAGATGACCCCATAGTTGATATTTTGACTGAAATTTGATTAGTCTATTCTATATAAAATTGCAAATAATTATTCAGTCAGTCAGCTACAACATAGGACCAAGCACAAATATGCATCGGTTCAAGTTGCCACACTTCATTAGCACAACAAGACGAACATCAAATTCATAATAGTTACTACAATGATAGTAATATATAAAAGAAAGATTGTGTATAAGGATATAATACAGAAAGAAAGACTTTGTTCGTAGAAAAAAAGGTATAAAGCAATTATGATCTTACGGTTTAAGGGCAGACATATCTAAGAAAATCTTTTTAAATAAAACCAAGTAACTTATTTGTGGTCAAATAATAATTATTTTTTATCAGTAGTAAGATATAACAATAAACGATGAATCAGAAGAGTTAAGTTTACAATTAGACTTGGAAAAACAACAACTGTTTGATAAATACTTATCAAAATTATTCAAACTAATTCATCAAAAAATAACTTCTCACGTTTCATATCTTTGTTTTAATGCTTATCTCTTCAGAATATCCTTTAAAAGTATTTGGATAAAATAAAAAGCAAATAATTTATTTCTCATCAAAGCTCAAATGAAACATGTTTGTGAGTGTGTGGGAGATGGAAATTTAAACAAAATATGTTTGTTACTATGGCTGTGGTGTGTGCTACTTATATCTGTCGACATAAATAACATATATGTTAGCGGGACATAGATTGGATTTAAGCATGCTCCATGCACGAATGCTTGGCGCACGCTGATTGGCTGATTCTTATCCAATCAGCGCTAGTCGATACATGGAGAAGACTCTAGATTCTTCTTATGTAAAAACTATAAATATACTAACGGTTTTCCTTTTGTGCTTCTCACTTCCATCTAACCTTGTTATTTGGAATACAATCTCTTTCCTGTTCAACCGTGTTCTGATTTGGGGACTTGTCGAGTGAATTGGTGTCCGTGAATACTAAGCAATAGGAATAGCTGGGTTAAAACCGTAAGAGCGAGAGAATTATAACAGTGGCGACGGGGAAAAAGGAAAATAAATTCAATATGTCCATATCAGATGACCAGCTTAACCGAATACTACAACAGCAACAACAATTAGATGCACAAATGCGGTTGTTAGTGACTCTGACTCAACTTCCACTGCTCGAGTTCACATGCCATTTCAAGTACGTCTTGTGATGCAGTTGCTAGCAGCATACCGGAATTCATCTATGATCCCGAAAGCGGAAATACTTTTCTCACGTGGTTTAAACGTTGGGAAGATACATTTAGAATAGAATTCTGTAACCAAGACGACGCGTGGAAGACTCGATTGTTGGTACGTAAGTTGGGAATTAATGAAAATGCACGCTATCCTGACCATATATTGCCAAAGTTTCCTCGAGAGCTCAGTTTCGAGGAGACGATAATTCAATTGTCAGAGATATTCGGTGAATCCTCCTCATTGTTTAGTATTCGACATCAGTGTCTAAATTTGGTGAAACGCGAAGCCGATGAATATGGTGTTCTAGCAGACATCATCAACAGAGAATGTGAACGGTTCAAGTTACGCTCGTTGACAGAAGATCAATTTAAATGCCTAATATTCATCAAAGCTCTTCAGTCTCCACAAGATGCTGAGATCAGGACTAGACTTTTGGCTCGACTGGATCAAGACCCAAACGTCACACTCAGAACATTGACAGATGAATGTAAGCGGCTACAAAGCATCAGACACGACAACGAGTTGATTGAACAGGTAAATCCTAATTTAACCTGCAGTAGTGTCAATGTTATTACTAGGTTAAAAGTTCAGAAGCCAATAACAACTCGTAACAAACCAACGACTGCATGCTGGTTATGTGGTGGTTGGCATTATGTACGATTCTGTTCATTTAAGAAGCATAAATGTCAGGTGTGCAACAAACGTGGACATAAAGAAGGTCATTGTCCACCGAATCGTACGTCTCATCCCAAAAAAAGCATAAACGTCCTCAACATGTGAAATCAGCCGAGTCTAAATCTCTTTCTCTGGTAGCCTTTCAAACAAACTATGACATTCGGAGAAAGTATGTTAACATCCAGATAAATGGCATATCAGCTCGTCTTCAAATTGACACGGCATCAGATATCACCTTAGTGTCTAGAGCAACGCATAGCTTGCTGGGTAAACCGCCAATGAAGCCATCTAAGAAAACGGCCAAAAACGCATCAGGTGATGTGCTAAAACTGGTTGGTGAATTAGTGTGAACTTTCCTTAAATGGAACTAACTGTACAGGAATATGTTACCTAACAGAACGGCCAAACCTTGATCTTCTTGGTCTAGATATGTTAGATAAACTTGGAATAATGGATGTACCGATTAACAGTGTCTGTAACGTATCGTGTTCATCATTAGACACCCCAGTACTTGCAAAGAAGACAAGTGAAAGGTTACTAGAAAAACTGAAAAGAAAGTTTGCCTCTGTTTTTCAGAATAGCCTTGGCCACTGTACCAAGATGAAAGCTCATTTACCATTGAAACCAGATGCCAAACCTATTTTTCGTCCGGAACGTCCTGTACCATATGCTGCTCTTAATCTAGTCGATCAGGAACTTAATCGCTTGCAACAGGCTGGTGTAATCCAACCAGTCAACTACTCTGCATGGGCCGCACCGATCGTAGTGATTAAGAAGGCCAATGGAACTATACGCATATGTGCCGATTTCTCGACCGGTTTAAATGCTGCATTAGATGTGTATCAATATCCGTTACCAGTTCCTGAAGACCTGTTTGCCAAACTTAATGGTGGGACATGTTTCGCGAAAATAGACTTTTCCGATGCCTATCTGCAAGTGGAAGTACATGAAGACAGTAGAGATCTTTTGACCATTAACACTCATCGAGGGTTATTTCAATACACCCGTCTACCATTTGGCATCAAGACCGCACCTGCCATCTTTCAGCAAATAATGGATACGATGCTAACAGGTATACCTGGTACAGAAGCTTATCTAGATGATATCATAGTTATGGGTTCAACTGACAATGAACTTTCTGATCGACTACATCAAGTCCTTAACCGAGTGTTGGAATATGGTTTCCAACTACGTGAGGAAAAGTGTATCTTCTTTATGCATTCCATCAAATACCTTGGTTTTATCTTAGATAAGAACGGTCGCCGACCAGACCCTGCCAACATCGAAGCCATTCAGAAGATGCCTGCACCAACTGATGTCTCTTCATTAAGATCCTTCTTGGGGTTAGTCAGTCATTACAACACATTCTTGCCTGAAATGCATCGAGTGAGAGGTCCCCTGAATGAATTACTATCAAAAGATAAACCTTGGCAGTGGTCAGCAGAATATCAAGCATCTTTCGACAGAGTCAAATCAATGCTCAGCTCAAAGATTCTTTCGACACACTTCGATCCCAGCTTGGAAATTGTTGTTGCTTCTGATGCATCTATTCATGGAGTTGGAGCAGTGATATCTCACGTGTTTCCGGACAAATCAGAAAAGACAATTGCCCATGCTGCTAGATCACTTACCCCAGCCGAGCGAAACTACAGTCAAATTGAAAAGGAAGCTCTTGCAATCATTTTCGCTGTCAAAAGATTTCATAAAATGCTTTATGGTCGTACATTTACTCTACTGACAGATCACAAAACTTTGATTGCAATCTTCGGTTCTAAGAAAGGAATCCCGGTCTATAAGGCTAATAGACTACAGCGCTGGGCAACAATGCTCCTGAGTTATGATTTCAATATCAAGTATCAGTCGACAAATACTATCTGTCAAGCTGACGCTCTCTCTCGATTAATTGGAGTTCAGCATCCTGGACCAGAGGATATAATCATTGCCTCCATAGCAGTAGACCCAGAAATACGAAGTATAGTGGCAGATGCCATTCGAAACACTCCAGTGTCGTCAGATGAAGTCGGAGAAGAAACTCTTCGAGACCCGATTCTACAAGAAGTTAGAAAGTTCCACCTGGAAGGATGGCCCGCGAAGATCAGTTCCACAGAGCTTCAACAGTTTTACCAGCGTAGACTCTCTCTCAATCATCGACGACTGCCTGCTGTTTGCCGAACGTGTCATAATCCCAAAGAAGCTACAACCAGCAGTGCTTGAACAGTTGCACGTAGGACATCCTGGAATAAATCGCATGAAAGCATTAGCACGAAGTTATGTATACTGGCCGCATTTAGACACCCAACTGGAGCAGCTATCCTGTGCATGTACCAAATGTTCATTAGCAACGAAAGCACCGCGAAAAGCAGAGCTGCAATCATGGCCAATACCACAGTCACCGTGGCAGCGTATACACTTGGACCTTGCTGGTCCACTCCATGGACAAACCTACCTTTTGGTAGTTGATACATATAGCAAGTGGCCAGAAATCTTTCCCATGGAACACCCGACTGAAAGCTGCACAGTCAGTAAGCTACGTCAACTATTCAGTCGTTTCGGAGTCCCGGAATCGATAGTTAGTGACAACGGAACACAGTTTATGTCCGTAATCTTCTCACAATTTTGTCGGCAAAACGGAATCCATCACGTCCGAACACCTCCATTCCATCCCCAATCAAATGGTCAAGTGGAACGCTTTGTGAGTACACTTAAAAATGCTCTAAAAAAATCTAAAGGGGAGGGAACCACCGAAGAGATCTTAGAGAGGTTCCTGCTTATTTATCGCTCTACACCGAACCCTCAGACGATTAACGGGGTCTCTCCAGCAGAAGCTCTACTTGGCAGAAAAATACGAACACATTTCGATGTCATCCGTCCTACGCCAGCTCTTGAGCCTCAACGAAACCTATCGATGGAGAATCAGTACAATCGACACCATGGGGCACAAAGACGATTGTTCACGGTGGGACAAAAAGTACTTGCTATGTATTATCGTGAGAAACATCCTACATGGACAGCTGGTCGGATCTTGAAAAAGAAGGGGAGTGTGGTTTATGAGGTGTCAGTTGGCTCAGAAGTTTGGGTACGTCATGCTAACCAATTGAAAGCAACTTCGACAGCCAGCAACGAGATTCAATATCGAATACCTCTTGATGTTCTGCTAGACACCTTTGAAATCAAAACGCCTGGAACAGACAGGTCAGTTTCTGTGCAAGCAAAGAGTGATAATTCTTTATTGCCTAGACGATGGACAAATCGAAAGCACAGGCCAGTCACTCGGTTGCAGTTGGACCCTAGCACCAGATCCTACGAATCTACTCAAAGGGGAGGTGTTAGCAGGATACAGATTGGATTTAAGCATGCTCCATGCACGAATGCTTGGCGCACGCTGATTGGCTGATTCTTATCCAATCAGCGCTAGTCGATACATGGAGAAGACTCTAGATTCTTCTTATGTAAAAACTATAAATATACTAACGGTTTTCCTTTTGTGCTTCTCACTTCCATCTAACCTTGTTATTTGGAATACAATCTCTTTCCTGTTCAACCGTGTTCTGATTTGGGGACTTTTCGAGTGAATTGGTGTCCGTGAATACTAAGCAATAGGAATAGCTGGGTTAAAACCGTAAGAGCGAGAGAATTATAACAATATGTAAGACCGATTGCAAATGGAAACCCCAGCAGTAGAAGGCTAAGATTATCAAGTTGAAGAGAATAGAAGGGAAAATAGAAAGGAATAGCGAATAGGAAGAATCATACAGAATGTGAAGGATAAATGATGGAATTTCGCAAATGAAGTATTCAATATATGGTCCTCATATTTTTCAAGAGATTCTGTAATTTTGTGTTAAAATTTATATTTTGGTTGTTCCCACCTGTATTCTCGTTCATTGCATAGCGACAAAAAATTACTACAGCAATGATTCTTGTCTTAAATGGTCGTAACAATAAAATGTCACGATATTGATTCACAAGATTTTATAAACCATTTGTGAACAGAAAAATTATATTTGATTTCGGTTTGAATACACGGAATAAGTTATTTTTAAATCGACGGCAAATAGATGAGCTAACATTGATAAATTACATGATATAAGGTACAAACAAGCACTTAATTTCAATGTTTACACGGAAATGATGAGTATTATTATCAAGGCAGAAACTAAAACATCAGTAATGTGTGTTATCGTTGTTATAAGTTACCTATATAAGTTCTCTTATAAATGTGATTTGAAGAACTATAGTCTAATGATACTACAATACCATAATTACATTTGACATAGTAACACATATAGTACGATAATGTGAATTATAATGATGAAATCCAAACTAACTAAGCAGTACAACTGGGTCACTACTTCAAAAATGTTTGAAAGTATAATAAATATTCTTTATGGGTTAACGGAAAAATGGTGACTGTGATAATGCCAATAATAATATAAAAACTGGTATCGAATATTTATCTGTAAAGAATTATTATCATTACATTTAATTAAAAAATGCAATAAATGAACGTAGAATACAGTAATCATTATGATACTTACTAGAATTGTACGATATCGCGATTCAATAATGTTTTCTTTACGATGATTATTATTATTACTATCAAGTAAATCGTTCCTATAACTATTAACTGTATCGTTAGATCGTGTGGACTTTTTGTCTAAATTTAGCAACAAAAAAAAAGATTAGAAGAATTTTCTTTAACTAATTTCTAGGTGAAATCCAAACAGTGGAGTTTATAATACAATTTCAGTAAGTAATATAATTATAATTCTAAATTTATTCATGTAACTCGATTAGGCGAATTTCTTTCAATATAAAATGAATGAATTAAATCTGTGCAAAGAAATAAGCAACTGAACGTAGTGATTTAGAAAACAGTTCAGATATTAAAATGTTATTCATTTTGTCGGATTAACGCGCTTGCCTTTTAAACCATCAAGTTTGATTGTATAGAATATAGTGTTATGTGACTAAGAGTTATTTGACTAGAATTTATCTTATTATTCAACAATCGAAGTGTTAATTGATGCATACATTTCTTCTTGAAATCAACATAGGGTAAACTTTATAAATGCATCTACATAAAGAACTACATATATGAGGTTAAAAAAGAATAATGAAATGTGTAGATATAGTTGTAGATTACTGGAGTAACAAACTTCTATTTAATAAACTAACAATTTAATTACTAGTTAAAGAATAAATTGTATATTATAGAGTTTAAGAAAAGATCATTATTTATGGTGTCGACAGCCACCTCTTTAGAACTAAGATACATTATCTCCTTTAAGATTGGACAAACTATATATTGTAATAAGGTTGAGATGTAGGAAAACTATAATAACTGGGTCATTAACCACAAGTCACTCTTCATACCTCTGTTTAGACTAGTTTGGCCACCTGCGAATGAGTAAGATATGATTACTTTTATTCGTTTTTTTAACAAAACAGCTTCTTACGCAGTTATGTTTTTCCTATTTGTCTGGTTGAATTCATAGTAGTTGAATTGGAATATACAGGGAAGTGAAGTATATTATTTTACATCTAATTTTTGGTCGAAAAAATAAGTATTTACAAGGATTACTTGTCAGCGCTTTCGTAATTCACTGACACGTCATGTGTTCAGATACAAATTGATTATTGAAGATAACCAACAATTCGAGTTCTTCATACTATTCAACTAGATTTGACTTTAGATATGTGTAGACAACTCATTTCACACTGATATCTTATAAACCATACTTTAAAGGTACTCTTTAAAAGAGCATGGAAAATTGGATTTCTGAACATAAGTTTTCCAACTAAAGGAAAGCAGCTTGTGACCTTCAAAACTACGAATTTGTGAGAAGAGAATAAATTTCTCCATATATCAGTGTTCAAAATTGTATGCTCCTAAGAAGACCTTGAGATACCTAGTTTTCCTTAATAAATGTTAGTTCTTTCCTAAATACATGACTGCGATAACTTTTTCCACTCCATACTTTTGCAGTGGCCTTGGATGTTATTTTATTGGTTATTGTAACTCCTAGTTTACTAGTTTTATGGGGTCCAAAGATCATTTTCTATTGCTATATACTAAGAGTTATTATATTTGAAGTTTAACTTCGTGAGATATCATGGTTTTTGTGTTGCGTACCGCGTTGCGTTGGAGATACCTGATCTATGAAGTTCGTATTAAATCTCATTAGTATTAGAAGGATCTTAAGTATTCGTACGCAGAAATCGCCACAAGCCTAAATCATAAACACCACATGCACTCAAGAAGTTTATATACATTGCCTATCGTTCTATCTATGAAGGTAAAATATGCATTTCCGAGAACGAGGTTGAAACAAAACCCTAACATCATGATCAGTCATTTTTATAACACTTCTAATAATAATATTAGTAATAACAAGAAAGTAGATATGAAAAAATAAACAGTTGAATAGTTACTTACTTGATTTATGCGCTCTTGCATGGATCTACAATGAAAATAGACAGAATTTAGTTGATAATTTAGAAATCCTTTTTGAAAATAGTGTGAATATAAAACAATCCAAGTTTCATTCAATTTAGTCAATCATAATAGTTACTTTACATTGTTCCATATACCCTAGCCCATAAATACAACAGAGGACTTTAAATTATAAATAACAGAACTGTATACACTAAACACAAACGTACATTTATTACTTAATAAATATAAATATCATTTTTAAACTTTAGTTATCACAATCCCCTTGCCTTAGGAGATCATGGTAGCACAAGCAACGGTGTTATCCATCACTTGACGCATTATCCAAACAAAAGTATCAGGTGTCCACGCAACAAAATTATTGATGAGTGATGCAATCACAAAATAAATTTAAATACATTTGTAACAGAGTCGTTATATCTTTTGAAAAGATAGTTAAGTGGGGAAAACAGCTAAATTCCTTCATAATTACTCATTAAAAAATTTGTCTATGGACTAAAATACTGCCTGAGTACTCAGACCTGAGAAAGTGGTTTTCTTAAGGGGTCATTCTCCGAGCCTTTGACCTGAAGGTCGGATCTATATGACAAACGAGAAACACTAAATTACGTCTTACGGTAGCCGATAGTCAAAAATAGATTCATAAGCCAACAGTTTCTTCGCGGTCATACTGCTGGCTTGGAATCAGCATTTCCCAACTCCCTAAACCGGACAATCTGAAAATAAGCGTACTCATTCCTTTGAAACAATTTCAGGAATTTTGTTTGACTCGTTCCGCAACTTCATTATCTCTATGACATTCTTGTTAGTACACTCTTACGCAATAGCACTATTTCACTAGATATACAGGACAAACTGTATATATCTTGATCAAATTGAGCATGTAGTCCTTATAAGATAGTGGGAACAATTAATTAATAATCCACTCAATTAAATATCATTATTAATTCTCTAGAGATTAGTATTATAAACTAGCTCTACTGTGTAAAAAGACTCTGAAATAACTGATAAAAATGGCATTATCGCAAGTAACAACAAACAGAACTTAACCACTGCATTTGTTGCTTTAGAAGAAAAATCACTATGGTAATAGAGGATACATCGCTAAATATCATAATAGATAGACATTTTGTGGTAAATTATTTTAATAAATACAACTACACTTAATGATAAAATGATATTAGATAGAGTAACATCATAGTAATTGACGTTACTTCTCTTACTATACAATTAATCATAATGTTGGTGTATTCAGATGCCAAATATTAATTTGATAAATATTTATTGAAATTTTCTTTTAAAGTTTTCCAATCAAGCCTTAATTTTCCACATTACACAAAACAAAACAAAATATGGAAGTGATAAATGTAACTGACAATACAGTTCAAATGCAAGGAAAACGCCATTCGAAAATTGTTAAATTACTTTGTATGCCTGACTGGTAGCAAAACTACGATCGCACTGAGAGCACATAAATTCACAGGTTACAGTAGTGGATGAATATTTCTCAGGTGAATGGTCATCTAAATCAACTAAATAAAAAAATTAACCGAAAAAAAGAAAAAAACGAAAGATAATCAGTAGAAGTAATATCATATTAATATAATATATTAAAACTCAAGATCTCGAGTAAGATAATTAAAAAAACATTCCCATCACCGTAACGGATTTTGAGACATATCTTCTGAGGTTTACAATTATATATGACAATTATTTAGCTAATACTAAACAATGAATCAACTGGATTTTTCCACTTGAGTTTCATCAAAAACAAAAAAGAAGAATATAGATCACTTGAACAATACGAGAATATCGACTACAGAGCTGATTTAAAGTCTTATTAGCATCTAAAAATGTTCAGTAAAACGGATATAGCTGATTTGAAATTCATGATCTTCTTAACTGTTACTGCTACACGTTTTGATCATTCTTTAAAACCATACTATGATAAGCTTCAGATTTCAAACTATTATTCACTTTTTAATATTTAATCTAAACAGTGCGCATCCACGATCCCACACGCGGGATTTGAACCAAGGAACTTAAGTCTCGCACGCGAAAGCCTAACCTCTAGACCGATGAACCGGCATCCGACCGTGTTAATGTCTAACTTCGACTAACCCACGATATTGAGCGACAATTTTCCATTGTCTCCGGTGGATAAATGTTTCACACCCGATACGGTTGAACTCCACTGGCCACGGCTTCGAATCCCGTGTATGGGACTATGGATGCGCACTGCTGAGTCCCATACTAGGATGAAACGGCTGTCCAGTGCTTTCAGGTTCTCAATTGTGTTCTAACACTGATCGGTTTATATCAATTAAAACTCAGCGATCTCCACAAACAGTTAAAGAAGAAATCAAAGAGTGTATAAATCAAATTTAGCGATTAAAGTATAAAATAAAATCAGATTTCACTGACAGTGAACTGAACATACAGTGAATAGTAACAAAATGTACGCATATTCCAATGATAAATCTAATAAACTCTTTAATGTGGTTGAAGAAATAATTTTAAGAAATAACGAGTTAGTAGAAGCTTATGGGTGCTGGGTGTATGTATTCACTGTGAAATATCGAAAAATAACAGCTGTTTTAAATCAATTACATCAATCTGAAGTTGACGTTTTGATTCACTTACCGTTTGCTGACTTAACGATCAACAGCTGGAGAAAAGCACATTTTACTTGCCAGCCAATTAACAGCCTAATAATCCCGGACAAAATGTTTTGTAAGCTGTACATTTATTAAGTGTACAAAAATGTTTAATTATGTGACTTTCGAAACCATCATTTTCAATTAGTAGCCGCGTCAAGAAGTTTCGAGTCATTCATGTATTGTTTTTATGTCAATTAGCTAATAACAAGTGTCATATTATTTAACCCTTAGTATTAACAGGAATTAACATCCAGAGCTTTTTTCCGATTAACTTTAATCAACCTACAATGAATATGAAGTGCCCTGAACTATCTAGTAGTTCGGTCTAGTGGTTATAATACAACTTGATTGGTAGGATTCAATCTAGCAACATGAACTAGACATGAAATGCATTATTATTATTATTATATAGTTAAATTGTGCGTATTCTTCATATAAAAAACGTAATTTTGAAATAACTCGGAGTAAAAATGTAGGAAATCGGAAAGCATGTTATTAAACACTGTAAATACCTGGTTTTTCAGACTGATGAGCTGGTGCATGCGATCGAAGTGTGTGACGTTCAAATGCTTTATAACTACTAAAACAACGGTTACAATCAGGACATTTATGCTTCAAGGAAGAGTTTGTTGGCTAAAACGGAAAGAAAACAATTAGGTTATAAAGTGATATGAAGACAAAATGAACAACAACAATCATTTACTTTTTAATGGATTTATTAAATTTATGTACATACAAATTCATTAACTACTGCACATAACAGCCTATCGCTTGAAAAATATGATAACAATCCGTTTAAAAAAAAGTGGAATAACCACAAATCTTTGCCAACTTTCCGAATATATTGTTATAACATGAACCCTTATGAACGAACTATCAAAAACCAATATATATATATATATATATATATATATATATATATATATAATTTTACGAACTAAAATTTCTACAACTATACTAAAAGCTATCTAAATATGTTAAGTAATAATTATACTCACTAATTTATCGGCTTTAAAAAAAACAAAATATTTATCCAGACTACTTTTGAAGCGTCACATTGCATTTAAGAGTTAGAAAATTGTTTTGTACACACCAGGCAGAATAAAGTACTACTAATTTTTTGCAGCTCTAGACTTTCTTCATCGTGCTGATGTGTAGTGTGTGCTGCTTAAATTGACATAAGTAGTATATGACGTTAGTCAGGAACAGAATGTCTGGCAGCAAAGAGATAAGAGGATCGGGCAGTAAAGAATGGAAACAGAATGCAATTTGCATGAAAATGCAAGAACAATGAAGTCTGGACCATTTTGAGACAATTAATGGACATTTTTCAAATTGAGCCTTTACTATATGGTTGTTAGATTTTATTAACAAGTTCTGTAATTTTGTATCAAATACATCCGGTTTTCCCCATCCGTGTTCTGTCCACTACAGATGTAAACTGAGGCGACATGGACTGATACAAATATCCCTGTATTATATTGTTGCTATGTTCTGTTAGCGGGACATAGATTAGATTAAAGCAAGTTCCGTCCACGATTGTGTTCGAGAATGCTGATTAGTCATTTCTCAGTCAATCCGAGCTAGTTTATTATTTTTATTTATTTAAACACATAAATATTGGTACAAGGAGGCATCAAATAGACATGCGCTAAATAAATCATTCGATTTATGTGAGGGCTGGGATACTGCCTGGGTGCTAATGGATACTCGGAGAAGACTCGGGAATCTTCTTGTATAAAATAATAAACATATGTTTTTCTTCCTGTGACTGCTACTTCCACTCAACCTAGCTTATTTGGAATATAATTGCATTTTTGTTCAACCGTGTTTTTATTTGGAGACTCATTGAGTAAGTCAAAGTGTCCGAAGAACACTAAGCAGTAAGAGTAGCTGCGTTGCAATAACAGAGACCATAATATATTGTTATGTCTATTTTTGGATACTAAATTATCGTTATGTACTAAATGATTTATTTCTCAGTTTGCTTACAATCTATTTATACAATCAATATATATTCAGAAACCTATATTTATTTGTTCATTATTTGCATACATCCCTTTTCCTACTTATTTAAACGTATTTTTTTTAAACTAATGAAAGCAACTCATGATGTCGTTAAAGGAAAATTAAAGATAATGTTGTATCTTGTTATTTCGAGTTCAGTACGGGCCTTCGCTGTTTGCAGAATTGAGAAAACCATTTGACTACTTTAATAAAATCAGTTTATATCGTAACTGACAACAGCATCTAGTACACAACACATCAACACCTGACGGCAAATACAAACGGAAGACTAATTGTAGGGAAAGTTGATGTTCGAAGTATAAAAAAGAGATCATAAAGAATTCGTAAAACTACGTATATATAGTAATATAAACAACCAAGGATATAGAAATTTAGTGATCTTAACGAATCGGGTGCTATCTGTGGGGTTGGAACCCGGGCCATCCAGCTTTACAATCTGAGACGTTAGCACTGATCTATTAAGGCCGTCACCAAACTTTTTCAAGACTGAAATGTTTACGATCGATCGATCATTGAGTAGTGACCAGGATCATATTTGTCTAGCTTTTTAGATCTGACCGGGTTTTATCTATCAAATCGAAATTATGTACTCCGAAGTAAATATTGGGTAAACAAAAGTATAAGCTGATAAATAACCTATACAATTACAATCTTCCAGTGGATTATTGCAACAAACTTACATCTTTGGGTGAATTAGATGTGGATAAGAACGCTCCATATACTAAAGACGAAGTAGATTCATCGTCCCCACAGGATATACCCACAGGTTTTTCTGGATTTTGAAGTTCTGAAACATTCGGTGCCGTTGTAGGTAGTGGTGGTGAGCTGTTTAAAGTTATTGTAATCTTTTTACGTGTGCTGTTCAATTCTCTTAAAACAGGGGAAACTGGTGACTGTGGGGGACTGATTGAATCAACTGAATTTATATCGTTGGTAACAGGAGAAGCTTCATCTACATTTGTTGGAGATTTTGATGCATAAGATGTTTGGCAATACAAAGTGTTTAAAATGTCTGAAGTGTGATCTTCTTTAGTATCGGAAGCAGTGAAGGTTGAATTATCAGTGGTTAATGCTGACTGCAGACCAATTTGATTGGAATCGTTTGAGTCATCACATGAACATAGTTCAGAATACATTTTACTCTGAATCTGGTGTCTATCAATAAGGTGAGTTTCAACTAAAGATTCATTATCTGTTCGAAAACCGGAACAAATACGACAAAGATATATAACTGATGGAGTGTTAGGTTGTTCCGTAGTAATATTTTTCTCACCTTTAAACAAAAGAAGGAAGCGCAAACCATAGTCGTAAGGGTTACATTTGCAGAAAAATAAATGTACGTTTGACTAGTCCTAACCTTCATACTTAAGGGAATGGAGTACATATGGACCAAATATATTGAATTAATGAAAACAATTGTGAGGCTTTGCATTAAGAACGATTTTTTATCGTATAAAAAACGTCATTCCGTCCTTCAAAAACTAAGCATAATCAAAAAGAATATTTGCAAACGTCTGCGCTATTGTGAATTGAAAACCATGACTGTTTTAAAATCACGGTTATAGAAAATGCTAGATTACAGTTAATTTCGTTGAGACATTGTATATCGACAAGTATGGTTTAGTTTCTTGAAGATCATAAATGATTTTTACATATGGAATCAAAAAGATGAATGACATATGTTATACATTAACTATGTACTAAATAGTAATAATAATAATAACAATAATAATAATAATAACAATAATAATAATAATAATAATAATAATAATATCCTCAGATTCTATTTGAACTAGTTTTACCAAACCTACACATTCATTTAACACGGCTTTTAACCCAAACAGTAGATAATGTAGAAAAATAAATCATTAAACTAATAATCTACTTTGGCGCCCAAAATATTTTAAATATGAGCCTTCATATCTACGTGGAAGAAACCAGCCTGAAACGGAGTATTGCAAAAATCTTGTTTGGTAAGCAATGAAATTGAGATCGCGTAGTTAAATTTCAGGTACTTATGTTTAAAACATACTACAGACAGGAACCACGTTGGAGCACGCTGACTAATCTACTTTTAACTAATCAGCGATAGTGGGTAAGTAGGAAACACTCTGTAATCTCCCTATGTAAAAAATTATATATACAGTGACATTTTCTTACTATATGAACTTAGTTTAAACCACTGTTTGGCACGGAATATATTTACTTTCCTGTCTACGTTGTTTTAATTTTGGGATCAGTGGAGTAGGGTAGTGTTCAAGGAATACTAGGCAATAGAAGAATATCAGATCACAGTGGGAGACTTAATAGTTACTTTTAACCTAAGATTGCTAATCGCCTAAATAATTCTGATTTTCGGCAGTTTTTCAGGTAGTAGGCAAGAAATGAAGTGGTTGGAAGAATAACAAGGTCTAAGTTGAGCTGACTATGGCAACGCTGATTAGTTGTTTAGTCAGTGTACACATCATTTTGATTTGGCTAATCATGTTGATTGCCTGAACTGTTTTCAGCCATTCTACTCTATTGCAATAAATAACACACATTTAAGACAAGATACTCGTCAATCACTGCTAACGCTCAAAATATCGCTTGACGCCCTCAAATAAAAAGATCTGTTTTTTAATGCTATGATTCTTAATTTCTATCATTTTGATCAACTTTTTATCTGATTAATTTTTTAACAGGTGTGATTGTGATATTTCGTCTTGAAAGTTTCAGAATGACAGATAGAAATAGAATCATCATACAGTTCAAAAGCTAATCTCTGTATAAACAAAAGCAAAATTTTCTTGTATTGCACAAGTAATTTAAAGTTTTATAAAATATATGGTGACGGGCAATTAGATGACCACTTTATTCCGCTGTGTTAACGGGGTGTAGCAAATCTAATCGATGTATACATGTACCATGTTCTGCGTTGCGTTTGACTGATTGACATTTGTAGGTTACTAATATTCGACCATAGGTATCACACAACCATAATCCCTATATCTTGGGCACCATCAAGTGATTAATCAGTCAGCCAGTCGTGTGAAACATGGAACCTAACCTGTGTGTGTCGGTTTAAGTTACCACGCCACGTTGGGACAGAGACAAAATTAACAAGATAAATCCCAGAACAGTAGTAGTAGAAAACATTAAGTGTAGAAAAAACGAAAATAATTCATAAGATTTCGGGATTCAGAAACTAAAGGATAACAAAGAGTGAATGCACCTGAGCTATTGTAGACGATTGTAAGTCATGTCACCTAAAGTCTTTAACCAGTGATTGCGATAATCACACGGACCCCCACTAGGAAATCTGAATGAGCATTGCTAACGTTAAACACGGAGTACTAGCCAGAGACGATAAATCGGTTCATTAGGCAGTAAAACCTTTACCGAACAAGGTGGCTGGAGCCTGTGTTACGTATACCTAACCACCACTTCCCTAGATGCGGAATATCGTCTGGAGTAAGATTAGGTGGAAGAAAGCTAGGGACGGACGAACCAAAATATGGGATCGACTCATGAACCTGTCGGTTGTTAAACCGAGAAATGCTGGTGTGTACAGACTACTTGATCGAGGTCCTCTTAATTATCGTGATCAATGGTTGTAGACATAATTCAGAGTCGGTCCCAATGATACAGATCCATCCACTCTTTTTTTCTATAAGTAGATCTTGAGTTTCGAAGTAATTTTACACATTTTATTCTGTAAATTTATTCTTGACTTTCAAATTGTATTACATGTTTAGTCTTGTTAACCTCGCTGCTATTTCCACAACTACAGTATTCATGACTTAGTGTTACTTTCTATAGGCCATGGAAAAAAACTATGTTGAGTACGTCAAATAATCAAATACTGTGGATAAATATACAAGATGATGTTTTAACTTTGGTAAAGACTACATGTTACCGAAACCAGCTCACACATTGTTAATAGACCTCCGATAACGATAAAGAACGGCAGACTCACTCCGATTCATCTACTATGGTTAAAGTAGACAGGTAGCATCATTGACTCTCATACAAAGTGTAGATTTAAGTCCATTTATACTTAGTTACTGAGTTATATTCGATCAGTCATAGCACAGAACTCGGTAAAAATGTTTGTTACATTGCAGAATACTCATGGTTTGAACATGGAAAGTTTAGGGTGCTTAAATCGTCAAACATTTAAAGACCCATGAAGCTTAGTCAACCTTTCGCCAAATACATTAGAGTAAATTTCTTTAGGTGTTTTAGTGTGATCGTATAGTGATTTATGATCGAAAAGAAACGAAAAACATATATATGGTTAAAGACGGAAACAACTCACATTTTATCTTGATTATGTACTTTTTCCATAGGTTGTTCAGCATAGTCCACAAAATACCATTTGAACATTGATGGAAAACCTGAGCAAGGGTGAACGATAATTAAAAAACAACCAATAATGTGCGAATTAAACATTTTTAACATGACATACAATTGAAGAATGTCAATAACACTAACCACAACAAAATACTCAACAAAGTGATAATAACAGCAAAATTAGTGATAAATGGACATTCTAGTGCTAATGGATACCATTGAGATACCATGTTATCACCATGGTAGGACTTCATCATGCTTGACTCGAAACCTAAAATCAAGTACTGGGCTTTGTATCATAGTTGCAGCTGCATAAACTTGAATTCCAAACATTAAAAACATAACTAACTCACTGCAGCTGAGTTTACTTTCGAGATATTTACAACATCAGTGCATAACGTTGTTGACTATTGATCTGAATCATGGCGGTTGATGCAGAATACCTTGGAGTAAGGGAAATAACTGTGATCACTCGCTTAAGACTTTGGGAGACGGCTCAGAATCAGTCACAATGACACAGATGCTATTACTCCTTATTGTCTTAATCGTTAAAACTCTAGTTCTTTCCCATACATACCTTTCTACTGTCATTTTTAACCAGATTTTCAATACTCAAACATTATTTCGATCATTTCCGCCATTTGTCCAGTTAGTTTCATCTCGTCTTGCTTATATAGTATGACAACTTTGGCCAAAGCACATTCGTGCCAGGCTTTATGTTGATGATGACCGACTGATGGTTATTTCAAGTAATATGTCACTTGCTTTAAAGTAATATGCTACTTGGAGAATTTGAAGAGCTAACTCAGGGGATGGAGTGATATCGGAGAAAAAAGTCGAAAAGTTGCTTCACTGCAAATATCACTTTTGTGAAAGCTGTATAAGAAACCAATCAAAATAAAAACGTGGATGAAACTCACTTCAAATTAATTTTCATACAAAAAATAGTCCAAAACACTACATTATATTTACAAGATGGCACTAACTAAACAGGATAAAAGCCAGACACAAGTAAACAGTTGAGGATTTTATGACAAAAAGATAAAAATGATTTTATGAAATGAAGCCCAATCTTTACGGGAATCGAATCAACTCTCAACAGAATGTACACTAGACCTTTTGTACTTTCCTACTGCAGCAATCCTGGGAAACTGTCGTTGAAACTCAAATTTCAGAGGACCACGAATTACAGTTGCGTACACAATGCATTAGTAGTACCCAATCGAATAAGGAAACTTCTAACACAGCTGTAAACCACTGGGGAGGTTAAAAAAATTTAGCCCCCCCCCTGGTATGGCCGAGAGTGGGATGGGTTCGCCCTCCTTCTCCATCTGTCACTTCAAAAACCTTGTTCTACGTGCGTTTATCCGGGGACCCTGTGGCATCTTCGTCTGGTCTTGCTGGCGTTGGTGTCGCACTAAGCGCAAGAGCTGAGGCAGCACTAATCGATTGGATCCCCACTAACAGTCAGTTGTGTGCTGTTAGATCAGAAAGTTCCATCAAAGTGCGAAGAAATCTGTATGGGAAGTGATATCTTTTGGTCATATCCGCCCATGCTCCGACGGATTGCAGCCCGGATGCGATCAAGCATTAGTTTAACCACCAGTTATCTGTTCTCCAGAAAGTGCGTTCGACATATATTGTAGTACTAGCCGGAGACTTGAATGCTCAGGTCGGGCGTCTAGGCACAGAAGAGAGTCGTTTAGGTGGCCGATGGAGACTTGTTCGTCGCAGGACAGATAACGGGGAACGTCTACTGCAGCTATGCACAGACCACGACCTGTTTCTGGCTAGCACTAACTTTCGGCACAGTCATCGCCGATGTGCCACCTGGCGTCCCCCTTCTGCATCTCAAGCCTGGATACAGATTGATCACATCGCGATCAGCTACCGCTGGCGTGGTTGTGTACAAGACTGCCGCTCCTTTTGGAGTACCTATCTGGAATCTGATGATGCCCTGGTCTGTGCCAATCTTACCTTACTTTTAAGTGGACAACGAAATGACCGCCACCAAAGGATTGATGTTAGCAAGCTGGCTGCAACTTCTGTTGCTAGTAAGTACCGAACCGAGCCAGCTTCTAGGCTAGCTACCATTCCACCGAAAAGTATAGATGAGCATTGGTTGCAAATGCATGGCGTCATGAAAATGGCGGGTACAGTCTGTTGTGGGTTCGCGAAACGTCCCGCTTATAAGCACTGGGATTCTTCTGGTTCCTTACAACTCATTGAAGCCCGTCGGTCTACTCCGGGTGACCGTGAGTTTGACCACAAACGAAGAATGTTACATACTGAAATTGGGCAAAGTTTGCGTAAGGACCGAGAAGCCTGGTGGTCGGAGCGTGCCAGTGAGTTGGAAACAGCAGCTGCATCTGGTAATTACCGGAAGCTCTTCCAACTCATCCGAGCCACTGGCAGCAAGAAGTCTGGTGTGAGCGAAACAATCTGCGAGGATGACGGAACGCCAATCACTAACATCCACCGACGTCTTGGACGATAGGTAGGATTTTTAGATGGCAGTTCAACTGGCCTGTTGCACCGGCAACATCGGTCAGACTGTCCTGCCCTCCATGGCCGGTGACGACTGGTCCACCAAATGAGGCGGAAGTCCGCAAGGAACTCCAACTCTTGTAACGTTACAAATCACCGGGGCCCAGACGACTTACCCCCGGCTCTTTTTAAAGATGGTGGTGACTTTCTGACTAAGGGACTGACGACGTTGTTTACAAAGATCTGGGAACTGTGTACCAACGTCATGGAATGAGTCGATAGTTTTCCCTATCTTTAAAAAGGGTTCACGTCGTTCCTGTAACAACTATCGGGGGATACGTCTACTTCCGATTGCGTCCAAGCTATTGGCTTCCGTCATACTTCGTAGGTTGTTCAGAACCCGAGAATGATTGACTCGCGAGGAGCAGGCTGGTTTTCGTTCCGGTCGAGGATGTATTGATCATATCTTCACCCTCCGCCAAATGTTAGAACACCGTCATACTTATCAAAGGCCAACGATCGTAGTATTTCTTGACATTAAGGCTGCCTTTGATTCGTTGGATAGGTCTGTTCTCTGGGATTGTCTATTGAAGAAGGGTGTGCCTGAGTTTATTAACATCCTAAAAGCCCTATACACAAACACCTCAGACAGAGTGAGGGCATACAACCACCTTTCTCCATTATTCCATTCGAGCAGTGGGGTTAGGCAGGGTTGCCCAATCTCACCATTCCTCTTCAACTTTGCCATCGATGACATTCTGGAAACAGCTCTGACGGATGTAAGTAATGGTGGTGTAGATCTGTTGCCTGGAGAAAGACTTCTCGACCTTGAGTATGCGGATGATATTGTCTTACTGTGCGAGAATGCCCAAGCCATGCAATCCACACTTAATCAGTTGGCAATCAGTGTCCGTAGGTATGGTATGTGCTTTACACCTTCGAAGTGCAAAGTACTTCTACAAGACTGGCAGGATTCTAATCCTGTACCCACTCTGGATGGTGAGCAGATTGAAGTAGTCGAGAAGTTCGTGTATCTAGGTAGCTGCATAAGTGCTGGTGGTGGTGTGAGTGATGAGATCAATGCTCGTATAGTGAAAGCCAGAACGGCTTATGCCAATCTGGACATCGTGTGTTCGGGCACAGAGACGATAATGCAATTGGTGTCACCATCTTGAAACACCGACTTCGATGGCTTGGATATGTTCTACGAATGTCGTCTCAGAGAACTCCTCGTCGTGCATTATTTGCCGACTCTGGGACTGGTTGGAAAAAGCGGAAAGGTGGTCAGTATATGACATGGTGTCGTGGTATGAAAGAAAGCTGCAAAGGGCTAGCTTCTGTTGGTCCTTCACGACTCCCTGGTTGGGGTCCGACAGATGGTGTAACACAGTGGCTAGAGACGTTATCAGATATGGCTCAGAATAGAAGCCAGTGGCGATCCTGCTGTAACCTCCTATTACTTTCTTCGTAAAGAGTGGTTGCTTCTTCCCTAATTGTAAGATTTTTTCTGATTGTACCTTTTCGTTTCCCCCATTTTTGTTCTTTTTTTTGTACATATTCCCTACGTTCCCTACCTTTTTTTAACTTCTCTTTAAATTCTCATTGTTTTGTGTGTAGCATATATATTTGGTGCCCCCTTGTACCAATATTTATGTGTTTAAATAAATAAATAAATACTATTAAACTGATAAAACGAAGATGTTAACCAAAACCACTGTTAACTAACGAATGGGACGCATCAATTAACTCTATTTATTTATTTATTTTAACACATAGGTATTGGTACAAGGAGGCACCAAATACATATGCACCACACGAATCTCAATTGATTTGTGTGAGGGCTGTGATACTGCACGGGTGCCCAAACCGAAGCAGGTGGTTTTCTTAGGGGGCCACACCCCGAGCCTTCGACCTGAACGTCTGATCCACAAGGCAGTGGAGCATCGTGAGGAGATGCAGTCCCATGGTAGCCGGTGACCAACGATTGGTTCGTACGCCATTTGTTCCTTCAGGATACTGGAGCCCATGTGCACCATTGGTTTGGGATCCGGTTAAAGCGCCGGACATTCGCTTTTCGTCCTCTCATTTTCATAAACAACACCCCCGCCACGTGAAGGCAGTGAGTAGGACTTCCCTGGCAGGGGCTATGTACGCGTGGCCATGTGAGAGCATTTGGAGAGGGAGAGCGGACTCTCCCCACTCTCGGCCGTACCAGGGCATTGTTAACTAACGAATGGGATGCATCAATTAAATTACAACCTGATACAAGGGTTTAGAGATTAAATTTACCAAGTCTCTAAAATGCATGGTAAAGGAGCAAATAGTAAGACAAGACCAAAGCAATACATTGTGAATTTGAAAAAGAATATTCAGTGAACGTATCATTGTGTCCCGATAAGAATAATGAGTGGTAATTTTTTGGAACCTATTTATGGACCAATGCTGTGCGTATATTTGTCGCATAATTGTTAGTTAACTAAACTATTCATATTCATGTCTCTCTTAACATAAGCTTTACTTTAACCTATGAACTATTATTGTACGATTTTCCATTCTTGAATTATTCCGTCTATTAATCACTACCTCCCACATTCACAGCCACATTTGGCCAAATCCTGTACAAATGTTATTTTACATTTTATGGTACATTGTGGTCTGTTTGATTGGTATATAAACAGATTATGTTTGAAATACAGAATCCATATCACAGAGGCTCGGATTGGTGTTCTGGATTTAACTGGCTGGGCTAAACGGGAAGAAAAACCAATCAGGACTCTAGGCTGCTCGTACGGGTTTTACGCGTTTTACCGCTAGGATAGACTGAGACTCAAAAGTGCTGAGACTACGTATCATGATTACCTTGAAACAAAGAATTAATAACTAGTAATTGCTGTTGGGTATTCTATTGAAATAGGTGGTGGTTTAATAATACAAATTTGTATAACCCTGATTAACACATGTTTGCGTGAATAGATAGTTAACTCCATATATTAAATCTCATTTAAATAACGCCTATAATAACTGCAGTTCTTGCCGCTTTATAACAGGGAGCAAGTTTTCCACGTCAGTTTTAAGAAGTGTATTACATACTGTAGAGTCATGTGAACGTTTGAATATAAGATAATAACAAGGAGTATGATAAAACTGTGATTCAAGGACGACTTTTGGTAGACCCAAAAGTGACCCTGATAAACCCCACCTACTTACTAGGGTTAAAAGAGGGTTATAAATTAGTATCGGGAATAAGGATTAGGATTTGAAGTTAGTCAAGGTTAGGAATTCGAGTAAGGGTTTTAATTATGAACTGACATCAGTTATAATGCCGAAACCCTATTTAGCCATATATACAGGTGAACTTCGTGTCAAAATCCCACTCTCTATCTTTGATTTCGTTGGTTCGACCAGAAGTTAGTCTTGTCAAAAGTACTGAGTTCATTAGTAAATATTGCCCCTGATAGTCTACAACTGATTTAACCATATAAGTGTTAATGAACCAATAAACCAGTGCAAAAGTATAAGTACAGGGACCTTAGGAAATACAAAAGTGGAACATTCCCATTAACACAATCGGTCTACAACTGAGAAGTTAAAAACGGCAAAGTTGAGGGGTTGTGATTAAGCA